AAACAGGTTTATTGTCAATGTGCGCTGACAAAACATGAGAATGCTGAAAACTCCTCCTGTCACGTGTTGACTTGTACGTCAAACATCAGAGTAAAAACTGAAAAATACACTCATGTCAAAGAGAAAAAAAAACTACACACTTATAATAACAAAATGCATTTGCAGATACAGCACTGCTCAGAGAAAACAATCCGGTCTTCAGCATGAGTCAACAAATAAGTCTGTCTTTGTGCAATGTTGTGCTATGAGGTAGTAAATCCCCTCAGTTAGATCCATCTATAGCAAGTCTGTCTTCATATCAAACACTAAACCAGTCTTGTATATCAGCATGGCGAGCTCGGTGTCCACCTGATCCAGGTCTGTCTTCAGCGCCTGATCTGTGGAGCCTGGACTCAAACGCTCATCGCCGGAGCCTCCTGAGCCGCTCGTCTCATTCTCCACGTCCTCGTCAGTCCCGTCCTCCCAGTCCCCTCCCAGCACCGTGGCCTCCTCTGCCTCCTCAGAGACTGACTTTCTCTCTGAATGCACTTGGTACAGCATCAGGTCGTGCACCTCCTCTTTGCTCTCCAACATGCCCTGTTGTGGGTCAGAGAACAGATTCAGATGCACAAAGAACAAACGTATGTGTCACACAGCTCGATTGACCGATACACAGGTAGATGATCTGCACAGGTTGTTTATAATCACCAACAGAGTGGATACGTTCTTTGAATAGGCATTGATGAACTAACTGACTTACTGTACGCTCTGTTTACCTCAAACACGATCACAGTTCTACTTTATGGTCAAATTAGAAGTTTGTGGTTCTCACATCGTCTTTCAACATATTCGTCGGGGACTTTCCTCAATTCATCTGCTTCCCAGCTGGGAAACATGGCTGTGATACGCATCTAAACACACCCACTGCCTCACTCTCTATGTGGTTTACTTCTAATTTTCAATTAATGACGTCTCCACTTAGCGGAACACACACGATCACATCAGTTACAGAAATTCAACCGAAAAAAACAACAGCAGTCTTTTCAGAAAGCATTCAGATCCCTTCACTTTTTGCATGTTGTGTGATGTTGTAGTTATTATTTTTAATGGGTAAACTCAGCATATTCCCCCAACAGTCTGTGCTTAGTTACTGATAATTCCACAGTGAATGCATGTTTTTAGAAATTGAATTCATAAAAGCCCAAAATAAAACACTTTGTAGAAGCCGCTTCGGCAGCAAGTGCAGTTTCAAGTCTTCTTCAGAAAGTCTCTCTGGGCTTTGAACACCTGGATTTCGACAGTTTGTCCCGTTCTTCCTGGAAGATCCTGTCAAGCTTCAACAGATTGGGTAGGAAGCAGCTGTGACCGTCCATCTTCAGCTCTCTCAACAGATAGTCTCTGGGGTTGAAGTCCTGGTTCTGGCTGGGCCAAACAAGGCCAGTAAGAGATTTGTCCT